GCGACGGGTTCTGTGCTGACAGCTCAGAGCCTGGAGCCTGCTTCAGATTCTGTGTCTCCTTCTCTCTCTGCCACCCCTCCCTCATGCTCTGTCTCTCTCAAAAATAAATAAACATTAAAAAATTAAAAAAAAAACCACCCTTAATCATTATTCAAGGCTAGATTCAAATCCCATCTCTTTCAGGGAAAAAAAAAAAATCTTTTGACACCCCCTCTCCCTGCCTCCAACCACCACGCTAAAGAATTCAGGTTGTCTTCTAAATTTTGGCTGTCTATGCCAGTGGTTTAAACAATCCTATTTGGGTATGACAATCTCCTTTTAATTTCAAAAAATGTTTACACACTCACATGACAATAAGTGTTCTTTGAACACCTATTTTAAAAATTCATGAAGACCAAAGGACAGACAGCATGAAATTGTTTTTAAGTGGCTATGCATTTGGTAGTCACAATATATATTTATAAAATAAGTATATGTACCTTCTGAGTTGTGTCTGAGTCATCTTACAGATATAAGGATTTGTGATGCTTAATATAACCCATAGATTACAAGGAAACCAAGATCCACAGTTTGGGAGCCGTTGGCCTATTTCATTTATATACAAAGAATCACACGCCAAGGGACACTGCTTGCCTGGTCACTCAACTCTTTAGGCTGGACTATATCCCACAGTTAGACTGAATCCTTCCCGAGGACAAGAACTTCCCCTTACATGCTTTTGTACATCCACAGTGCTAATAGACCCTTCAATTAAAGATCATCAACTGAGCACTAACCACACGCAGGACACTGAACTTGACTCTGGGAGATACAAAGTATAAGATCCACTTCTTAGTCTTGAGATCTGACAGTACAGTTATAAAGACATGGCAAATGTCTCCACGAATGCATTAATGAATTAGTGAATTAAGGCTGTGAGAGCAAGTGACTCTTTAATGGCTGAACTCCACAGGTTATAGGATTAATCATGCAGTGAGTTTCAGTGCGAACTGAAAGATGATTAGGACCTGGCTGCCTCCTTCAGCCCTGGAAGGTGCTCAGAGAAGAACTGAATGAATTAATGCATACAAAAAGTACTTTGGGTTATTTCTTCCTAGACAGGTACAAAGTGAAACTCATTTTTCAAAAGAATAACTCTTCCTCGGAAACACACAGGAGTCAATTTCTTGCAAGGAGCAGTGGATGAAGAGGAGAGGCATTTTCCTATTTCCTTCCAGGAACCCCTGAATCCTATAATCTCTTAGAATGTTATTGCTGGGATCCAGAAATCATGTAGGTCAACCTTCCATGGGTGAGACTATTAAGGCTCCAATGGAAAAGTGACTTGCCCAGGTTCATAAAACCAATTCCTAGCATAGCTGGGACTTGACCTCTAGGAGCTGGACTTCAAAGCTAGTGTTCTTTCCACTTTATCTTCCTACCTTGAAAATCCCTTTCCTTTCACTGAACTTATCAGAACTACTTGTCTAAAACAAGTCTGCCTGAGGCTAACCCACCCACCTTCTTATTCTAATCACAATGCTAGACTGGCCTTTCTTCTCTTGCTATCTAAACATGCCCTAATTAGAAATCAGAAGCAACTCCTGGGCCCAGGCCAATGCTTCAAAGAGTCTGTGTATTGGCACCCACAATGCCAAAACCATCCTTGGAAAAGACAGACTGTTAATTACAGAACCCAAACCATTGCTTTGTGGATTGTGGGGATTTCGTGAGCACGGGTGGGAGATGGGGGAAGTTCTGGAGGGGCTTTCTTCACTGTCATTAGTTTTCACCCACAACAGAGAGCTGTCTTCCCTAGGATACCAGAAAGCAATTAGGTTGGGACCCGGCCAGGGAAGCTCCCACCATCTGGTGAATATTTAGGCGTCCTGGGTGATCTGGAAAGTCAGTGGGTGGGCACTGAGATACACAGATAGGCCTTCTGGCCAAGGATGTTTGAGGCTCAGGAATCTGGAGGGGCAAATGCCCTCAAGAAATCACCCCAAATTCCCTGACCATCTGTGGACTGAAGTCAAGCTATTGGTCAAGTTTCCCTAACAAAGCATTGCTCTGGGAACCTTAATCCATTAATCCATTCACTCAACGCCCATCTATTGTGCCAGGTTAGTATGGTGAAGTCACTTGACTTACATTGACCATCATGTGACCTCCACCTCTGATGCTACTGCTCCTTAGCTGTGTGACTTGGGCGAGGCGTTTATTTTTCTGGTCCACCTCCTTGTACTTCTGGCTCAATCTCATCACCTATAAAGTGAAGGGATTGTACAAAATGATTCCCTTTCCTTCTACCTGTGTGAGTTGGGATCCAGTTAGGAGACAGAAACCACACAGTACTTGGAACAGGGGAAGTTCAATACACGGAATCATTCACTAATAACAGAGAACTAGTTACTGGGGGGTGAAGTGAACTCTGCAGAGTATTAGAATAGCACCTAGAGGGCGCGGCCTCAGGCTTGCCCTCCGGCTGAGACAGAGTATCCAAGGAAGGAACGAGTTGGAGAGTCCCTATCCCCAAGGCTGATGTGAGGACCATGTAGCTGTAATCCAGTGAATGGCACAGAAATTCTTTGAGGTGTTACCGGGCTGGGCATGCAGGCAAGGAGTCATCCACTGAGGCACTGGAGAAATTTGTTGAGAAACTGCCCTTGGGAGTGCTGTGGGTCTTGCTGGGAAGCCCACTAAGGAGCTTGTGGAAGCCCACAGAAGCTGCCATTGAGGGTTGCACGGAAACTTGCTTGAGGTGCGTGTGCCCCATCCCCTGGTCCCCTGCCGCAGGAAAGGCACACGAGAAAGAAGAAAGCATGTCAGAACCAGGAAGAGAAGTCCCTTTCTACCACTCTCCTGCGGTGTCCTTCCAGAACCCTCTACTGACAAAGCGTAACATCATGCCATCATCGGGTAAAGAGAAATATTTTCAGGCTCCCACCCCAGTACCACATGCTGGGCAATGAAGGGTAGATTTGCAGATGAGATGTGACAAATCGATGACTGGCACATTATCATTCTATAATACATGATTCTTTGATTCAGTCCTTTTTTTTAACGTTCAAATGTATGAAAGAAGTAAATCATTTGTATGGTACCTAGCCTAGACATGGTCTTAGCCTATTCTATGATCTCCTCACCTCTATTCCTCAATAATTAATGAATTGCTTCAGAAACAACACAACACAACACAACACAACACAACACAACACAACACAAAACAAAACAAAACAGTCCTGGGTAGGAAGACCTTTGACTTTAAAACTCTGAGCATGCCATAATTATGCTTATATATGATTATAAATATCTCTGTTTTAATTACAATTATGTAAGTAGTGACAAGTTATTAGTAACAACTATGCCAAGGATGTAGGTACATCTGAGCTTCCAGGGGAATGAATAAAAGTTGTCAAGGCCTTTGCTAGCCTTCCAAATGACAACAAATAACTCAGAGAAGTAAGATCAAGAATAAAGGGAATCTCAAATCAAATGCTATGAAGAACCAGGTGAATGACAAAATGTGATAGAAGGTTGTAGGAAGGAGAAACATCCACAGGCTGAAATGGTCAAGGAAAGATGTGTGTTGGAATCCCAATTTGAGAAAAATGTTGAACAATGGGCAAATATTGAGGGAATAGGCCAAGATGTGGCCACAAGTCCTGTGACCCCAAATTTGCTAGCCTAATGTCCGAACTCAGTCAGTTGCCAATACATGTGCAATGCACACAGACTGTTGATAGGGAGATCAGCACACAGGACCTCTGAGTCACTGGATCCTGGGCAGCCTCATTTGGAGGAAATGTCATTATATAGACCTTCCGCCATCATTTAGGCAAACCCGTGGTTCTCGTATCAATGGGTTGACCATTTGCTAGTGTGGAGGATTCACTGTTGTAATCATCACTTTTGCTCTGCACATTAACTGAAACTTTGAAATACCAAAAAAGAAGAACAAATAAATGTCCCAAATAATTGCGATCAACGGTGCAAACACAGCCTTGCTGTGTCGGGTGCGTCGGGTTTATTTGCTCTCTCATGAGTGAAAATTGGGCAGAGGTGTGGCTCAGAAGTGTTCTGAGTGTTTTGACAAGCTGTGCCCTGTGTGGGGATGACAGAAGGCAAGTGGCTATTGACCTTGGTCAATATTGCTTGTATTTAATATTTACTGATATTTGGCCTCTGTGACCCGAGAGTTTGCTGACTTTCCTTCTACCTCTCTTGGTTGGCCTCTGTTTCTCCATGCATCCTCTAAAAGCTGTACTTCCTGGCCCTTCCTATCCATTCCTGTGGCTCAGATTACCATTTATATCTGCTGACAACATCTGTCTGAGTTTTTATCTTCAGCTCCAAGCCGGAATAGGCAATTCTAGCTCAACGTGTCCTGAGCTGAACGAACTTTCTTACCCCACAAAGCTGCTTCCACTCCTGCTTGCCCTCTTAGCATAAGACAACATTCTTTCACCCAGGGGTGCAAGTTAAAAACCAGGAAGTCATTCTTATGCTTTCATTCTCACCGCCGCCCCCCCCCCCCCAAACATTCGTATCAGTCCTCAAAGGCTACTGAGATCCTCTAAAATCCTTCAATCCACCTCCTAGTTTCCACCCCACTTCCACCCATGTGCCAGAACCTCTAACCTGGACTCCCACAACTCAACTAGTTTTTAACCAGGCAACTACTTTACTCATGAAAAAAAACTGTATTGAAAAGAATCATATCCAACCTAGGTTGAGGTTGTGTCCCTCCGAGTTGGTTTTACTTTGCTTTAGTTTGCTTCTGCCATGAGTGTAGAGTAGATTACAAATATTTTTTTAAAAATATTCTTTTAATGTTTGTTTTTGAGAGAGAGACACAGAGGGCAAGCAGGGGAGGCGCAGAGAGAGAGGGAGACGCAGAATCCGCAGCAGGCTGCAGGCTCCGAGCTGTCAGCACAGAGCCCGACGCGGGTGCCAACCCAAGAACCGTGAGATCATGACCCGAGCCGAAGTCAGACGCCCAACCGACTGAACCACGCAAGCACCCTTAAAAACAATTTTAATGCCAGTTTCTTGGCTTCAAGGTGCCTGGTCATGCAATTAATATAGTTTGAAAACCCCAGATGGTGTGGGGCCAAGCATGAAGTTAAAGATCCTTTTTGGAGACTACCTGTTTCCCACTTGACGCCTGTGCCCATGCATCTCTTTGCCAGCGGGTGGATATTTTCCAGTGCATGCTTCCACAGAAGACCTAGGAATAGAATTCGGTGATTCATCACTTCTGTATAACACCCAGTGCTCATCCCAACAAGCGCCCTCCTTAACACCCATCGCCCATTTAGTCCATCCCCTCCATGCAACACCTAGCTTTACGATGGTTTTCTAGTTGCGGCTCCCAGACGTTCATTTTCTTCCCCAACGATATTTGCTAGGCAGCATGCTACTTACTAGTCATCACAGGACAGAAAAGGTGAGCAGAATTGGAAAATCTTTAATTTTGTACAATAAAGTAGAACCTCGTCTTTCGATTGCATTTTAGAGTAATTCCCTGGTCGTGCTTTATCTCAGTACCAAGCATTGTAAAGATTCTGCCGTATAAACGTGTTGTTTTTATAAAAGTGGTCACCTGGATGTTATCCTGACTCACGTAAATTGCAACATGCAAGGATACGCTGAACTCACACAAGACGCAGGGGTCCTTCCATCAACCCCTTCTTTACTTGGGAGTGTCTGCTATTCCCTCTGCTATGCCCCCAGGACTCATAGGGCAGGACATGGGACGCTGACAAATAGAACATGGGGGAAATCACCAGTATCGGTAACCCAGTAAACATTAAGAAGGCCTATTGCCTTTTAAAAAAATAAATTAAATAGAATTTTAATATTTTCTTCTCTTTCCTCAAAGGATTATCTTGTGCATTCTGAGGGGGTCTCTGTAGACCGTGGTTTTCGAGGAGGATGTTCTAAGTTGAACTGCATCCCCACTGTAGGATGCAGTAGATCCTACTCCTGAACCAGGGGGTGCACATGCTTGTGAACGTGACCGTGTTTGGAAATAAGGTCACTGCAAATATAGTTAGTTTAATTAAGATGCGGTCAAGCTGGAGCAGGTGGGCCCTTTATCTGATATGACTGGTCTCCTGACAAGAGGAGGAGACGCTCAGAAAAAAAGACAAGGTAGAGGCCCACAGGGAGATAGCCGTGTGATAAGGAAAGCAGAGATCCGAGTGACGTAGCCATGAGCCAAGGACTGCCAACAAACACCAGAAGCTGGAAGAGACAAGGAAGGAGTCCCCCTTACAGGTTTCAGAAGGAGCATGGCTCTGCGGACCCCTTGCTTTTGAACTTCTAGCCTCCAGAACCGTGAGACCGTACATCTCGGTTGTGTTCAGCCACAAAGCTTGTGGTACTTGTTACAGCAATCCTGGGAAACTAATACGAACGTGGATCCAGAGAATGACTGAAGGAAGTTCAGAGACGTGGCAGGAATACCAGTCGGGCGAGGGGAACCCGGAAACCTGGGTAGGTGACAGCCCAGGCAGGAGGGTGTGCTCCATGGTTTCCGATGCATCCCGGGAAGCAGGAGGATGTGAGCAGAGGAATGTGCTCGCTCGCCCAGGGGTGGGGGTGCGGAGAGGACCCGCATCTGCTCCAAGGGGTGGAGACACTTAGGGGGCAGAGGAAGATGCACCTGGTTGAGGGTGGCGATGGGTTGTGAAGAGCCCTCAGTGCCCATTCTTTCGGCTCCCTTGGCCTTCCCTCTCCTTGCATCCAGGTTTCTTTGGCTGCCTTCTGGTTGTTGCAGCCTTCTCTATGTTAACATTCTTTAAGATCTGCCTGCGACCCACATCTGGGCTTCCGGCTGCACCCTGTCCCCACCCCCCACTCCGGTTCTTTCTGTGTCCTTTCCACACAGGACGGGTCACATTCTCTCTGCCTCCGATGCCTGAAATCCTACCACATTCGAGCTACCACCTTAGCGCCCTATTTATAAAGGTGTCCTAAGTTCTTGCATTTCTGTTTAATAATGGCATCCTAAGCAGCTGTCGGAAAGATTGCCCTCATCAAAATGAAAAAGCAAGGTGTAGAAAAGTCTGTCTTGGGACACTTCCATCTTATGTAGAGAAGTTGTCTATGCCGAGCTAGACCACGCATAGCCTGTTAGATCAGACGTAAGAGAGGACAAGGAAGGTAAAAACCTGTTCCTAAAGAAGGAGCCCTATTTCTCTTGAAAGGTTCAGACATTATCTGCTAAACTCAGAGAAGAGATTTCCCCTCTAGCAGCTGACGGGAAAGAATAGGTTTGCTCACTTACTCATTCATTCGACAAATATTAATTAAGCACCTATTTCTTGACCTGTGTTAAGTGTTGGGAATACAGTAAAGAACGAAGGTGTAATATATCCGCTCTTGGAGGGAGTGCAGTCTTTTGAGGAATTTAGGCCTTTGATGCAGTGTGATAAATGTCAAAAGGAAAACTGTAGAAGCTTTGTATTCCAAATGCCTGCTTATCTATGTGTCAGTCACTTGGTATGATAGGCAGAGTAATGACCTCCAGGGATGGCCCTGTCTTAATCCTCAGAAGCCTGTGAATATTTTATCTTACGAAGCAAAAGGGTCTTTGCAGACGTGATTCAATTCAGAACCTTGAGATGGAGATGTTACCCTAGATAATTGGGGGGTGGAGAAATGTAATTATATGCCTCCTTAAAATCAGAGAGTGTCTCCTAGTTGATTTCAGAGTGAGAGGGAGATGTGGCTTTGAAGATGGAGGAAGGGGCCACCAACCATGGAATAAGGGCAGCTTCTAGAAGCTAGAAAAAACAGAAATGAACACTCCATGGACACCTTGATTTTAGCCCAGTGAGACCTGTGTCTGGCCTCTAATTTACAGAACTGTGACTTTTTTTTTTAAGTTTATTTATTTATTTTGGAAGAGAGAGACAGACAGACAGACAGAGACAGAAAGCATGTGATTGGGGTAGGGAGATAGAGAGAGGGAGAGAGAGAGAGAGAGAACCCCAAGCAGGCCCCGTACTGACAGTGTGGAGCCTGATGAGGGACTCAAACCCACGAACCGTGGGTTGAGAACCCATGACCTGAGCTGAGATCAAGAGTTGGACACTTAATCAACTGAGGTGCCCCAGAGCTGCGTTGTTTTAAGCCATTAAATTTGTGGTCAGCAACAGTAAACTGATACATTGGATTAGGCTAAGGCATACAAAGTTGAATAAGACAAAGTCCCTATCTTCAAGAAACTCACAAAATTGTTTCTTGAACAAGAAACATGTGGAGAGAAACATGTGAACAGCATAATAAAAGTGCCAAGTTTGGAGTGTGTGCATGGAGCTGTGTACATCAAAATTTATTTGGAAACTTCCTGTTAGTCTCTCCAGTTTTCAGATTACCCAGTGGTAATTTTCAGTCTCTAATGGTGCAACTGGTTAACGACATTGACACAGCTGATCATGCCCTCCTCCTAGACACACTTCCTTCTTTTGGTTTGCAGGACCCCACACTCTTTTGGTTTTTCTCCTTCTTCACCGGATGTCACTTTTCCATATCTATCTCCTTTGTTCCTTATCTTCTCCCAACCCGTTCATATTGGAATGTCCTAGAGTGTCCTTGGCCCTCTTTTCTGTAGCTGTATTTCTTCCTTTGGTGACCTCATATAGCCTCATGCCAACTATATGCTGACCACAGCCAAGTTTATCTCTCCATCCCAGACCTCTGTCCTGGGCTCCAGATTTATGCATCCAGCCTCCCACTTGCCATTTCCACTTGGATATGTAATGGACATCTCATAGGGAACATGTCTAACACCGAACCCCTGGTCTGCCCTATCCCACCCTGCCTCCGACAACCTACTCCGTCCACAGCTTTCCCCATCTCAGTAGATAACTTCCAAGTGCTCAGATTCATAACTGACTGCGTTTCATATCAATCTATCAGGAATTTTAAGTGGCTCAACCTTCAAATATATCCAGAATCTGACCACTTCTCTACTGCTACTACCCTGGTCTGCTCACCATTGCCTCTTGCCTGGATTACTGCAAAACCATGATATGGTTTCCCATGTCCCTCCCAGAAAAGCCTTAAGCCCTCACAATATCCTACCAGGCACTACAGGATCTGGATCCCCGGCCCACCTTCCGTCCCTCAGGCTATCTCTATCTGTTGCCTTTTTTTCCATTCTGTTGCAGCCACCCTAGTGCTTTTCACATCTGGATCTTTGTTCTTTAGGAAGAACGATCAGTCTCAGGGAGTCTGAACTATGCCTGGCACTTAAGAAGCACCCAGTAAATATTCAATGAGTGAACAAATGAATGTTCTTAATCACTAGCTCTCCTGTTGCTTGATTCTCCTTGTTGTTTTTTTTTTAATTTTTTTTTTAACGTTTATTTATTTTTGAGACAGAGAGAGACAGAACATGAACGGGGGAGGGTCAGAGAGAGGGAGACACAGAATCTGAAACAGGCTCCAGGCTCTGAGCTGTCAGCACAGAGCCCAACGCGGGGCTTGAACTCACGGACCTCGAGATCATGACCTGAGCTGAAGTCGGACGCTTAACCGACTGAGCCACCCAGGCGCCCCTGATTCTCCTTGTTTTTAATGATGCTGTTTACACCACTAGTTGCTTGAGATATTTATCTAGAATCTCAGTTTTGGACAGCATTGACTGGGCTCTTGAATGTTTTGATTTTTTATTTAGAATGCAGTGCTTTTATGATGTCAGGGGCATTAATATTAAAAACAAAGAGCAAACAATTGAAAAAACAACCCTTAGGGAACATGTCTGAAAGCTTGAGTCTACCTCAGAGTGGTTTTTCAACCTGGCACTCTCCACCAAACTTGTTCCGACTTGACTCAGAGATGAAACTGCAAATACGTAATTCTGAAAGTTCACACGACAATCACCCATGACTTTATAAACGCACTGATTTTGTGAGTATTCATATTCTTTTTTAAAAATTTTTTTTAACGTTTATTCATTTTTGAGAGACAGAGAGAGACAGCATGAATGGGGAAGGGGCAGAGAGAGAGGGAGACACAGAATCTGAAGCAGGCTCTGAGCTGTCAGCACAGAGCCCGATGCGGGGCGTGAGCCCATGAACTGTGAGATCGTGACCTGAGCAGAAGTCGGAAGCTCAACCGATTGAGCCACCCAGGTGCCCCATGAGTATTCATATTCTTAAACCTGAAACCAGAAGGTCAACGAATCCTTTGTTTAAAATGGCATTAAGCTAAATCTGTGTCTGAATTGTTTTCATTCAGAAAACTCAGTCACTTACATTATCCAATAAATCAACACTGACTTCCTGGGCACTTGCTGGAAGAAGCCATGACTCCTGCTTGAGGACATAGACCCGGAGTTACCCAGGAAATGACTACTCTGAATCTCTAGATGTGATTATATCTTCTTCACTTCATCTTTTCCATATTTTGGAAAAAAGAGGAAGTACCAGCAAAATGCAAAGACTAAAGCAAGCTGGTCTGTTATACTTTTCCTAACCCTAGTATCAAAAATACATTAGACTCAGCATAATTCGGGGCTGGAGTTCTCTTTTTATTTCATTGACTTGGCTCCTGGGGTGGGGGGGCTATAATCTCGGACAGCTGACAGTCTGAGATCTTGCTAGACCTGCCTGAGGGAACATGAGTTCTGGTGGTTCCAGAAGGATTCATTCTAACTGCCTCCCGTGGTGTGCTGGGGTGACTTCACAAGAGCCGACTGGTAAATTTCAAAGGAGTTGTGTTTTTTTTTGAGCCGGTCGATGTCACATTGCTGTCTCTCCATGGTGAGAGTTGGAAGTTGACAGTTACTACAAACCTCCCCCCACCCCCACCAGCTGACCACCACCAAAAAAGTCAGCTATCAGACATTTTACCAGTATAGCAGGGGTTGAATTTCTTTTTCAACAGACCTAGTTTTGTCAACAGGGGTTTCTAAATTCCCATTTTCCAGTTTTGGTCTTTTTCTCTGAAGTATTTTAATTTTCTATAGCAAATCACTTACAGGTCATTTTATTTAAGTTTTGACTTTATCATTTGTTGTGTGTTTTTTGTCTTGTTGTTTTTGTTTTTTCTCTATGAGCAAATTCTTTACAAGTGGGAATCCCTGATTAGGCTTCGGTTTTACGTTTGTTTACACAACTCCATTTGTAACTACATAGCATGATTAATAATTGCTGACTCTCTGTCCCGCCCCTTCTCTAATATTGATGTAATTTAGCCTATGTCAGCTTCCGCATCATCATTCTTAAAACTGGAGTAATGGTACATACTGCTCATTTACTTGCGGGGAGTATTAAAAAAATAACATGTAGACTCGGCACGGTGCTGGGCACATGGCAATATCTCACAAACTTTTACTTACTGTGTAGTAATAGTGGCAGGTATTGAGCTGTAAGAAGCGCACACACAAAAGGGTGAGATGGAATGCGTTGGTGAACAAATACTTTGACCTTTATACCTTTATAGCTTAGGAACACGAATAAACCAAGGTTTGCCGCCTGGTAGTTGAGATATTGGGTGTCCCTATCTAAGCGGATTGCTTTGCAGGTAGAAAGAGATCAGTGGAGAAATTATCTTTAGACACTCAGAGTAACAAGGCGGATTTCGTAGATCAGTCAGATCAGGTTGATATTTCAGAGTTGTAGGACTGAGAAATGTTGGCTACTTCGTACCTTCTTGTTCTCCTGAAACATCCAAACGCCCTGTGTCCTCATTGCCCATCTTCCTTTTAACTGATGGTCATGATTCACAGGAAAACAGAAGCAATGACAACAGTAAAGACCTTCTTTTCCTTCCACAAATATAGCGACCTTTGTGCGTCTATACCTGTATTTTTTGTCTTCACTCGTGTTATTGCAGATGGCATGTCCAAGCTCCTATCTAAAGGATCACACCCCCCCCCTTTTTTGTTTTACCTTCTCTAGAGCTTAACTCCCATCTGTGTCCCCCTTCAGTCTTTCTCCTTGACTGGTTCATTCTCCCAGCCTACAAAAAAGTGTTAGTAGTGCTTAAAAAAACAAAGCCTTCTGTGGTTCCCTTGCCACTTTCCAGCTACTATCCCCTTCTCTGCTCTCCTTCACACCGCACTGGTCATAGCCTCTACCTCATTACCTTCCATTCTCTCTTGAACCCAGTTTACTCAGGCTTCTCTTTCCCGCCGGGAGCTGTTTTGTCATTAGCGGCATCCATAATGCCAAACCCAATGGTCACTCAACTGTCTTCATGCTCGTCCATCTCTCTGCAGTATTCTGCCTTTGAAAAACCACCCTCCCTTGATTGCTGGAGCACCACACTCTGGTTTTTTGCCTGCCCTCTGGCCATCCCTGTCTGTCTCCTATGCGGGACCTTCTCCTCTTGGCCCTTGGCCTTTTTCTCCCATGATAGATCTCATCTGGTCCCATGGCCTTAAGCTCTATGCATTTGCCCAGGTTTCCCAAGGCTGTGTCTCTAGCCCCCTCCCCAAGGAGTTTCGCTCTAGCTATTTAAGCCGCCTACTTAATATCTCCACCCTTGGCTCCCCAGTGGGCAGCTCCGACCAGCATGACCAAAATAGAACCCCTGGCTTTCCCTTCAAAACATAGTTCCCAATGTCATCCCCACTCAGTAAGTGGTATCTCCATCCACCTCGTTGCCTCAGGTTTCCCTCTCCAGATCCAGTCTACTAGGAAGTCACTTCTATTTCTAGACTGTATCCCAATCCTGTTCATGCCCTCCTGCTTTCCCTCCTAGTCACTTATGATCACTTCTTTCCCTAGAAGCAGGAAGACTTTTTTCAGGATATAAATAAGACCCCATCATCCCCTGCGTAATTAGCTTCCTATCAGGAAATCTTCATTCTCTTTCCATTAGAAAACCATCCCAAATCCTCACTTTGGCCTACAATCCCTACTTGTGTTGGCCCCAGGCTGCCTCTCCAAACTCATCTGGCTCATATTTTTCTCCCATTGTGCTTCGGCCACACTGGCCTTCCATATGCTCCTGCAACATTGCCAAGCTGGACCGCCCCTTTGTACTTTGGCATTTGCTCTTTCCTCTGCCTGGAGTGTTCTACTTTCACATCTAAACGTGGCAGCCTCCTTTCCGTCATTCAGACCTTAGTTCAGGCACTTCTCCCCAAAGCACTTCCCTGAGCACCCAATCTACGGGAGCTTACTCTCCAGCATGTTACTTTTTGTATTTTCCTCATATCTACCGTCTGCGTTTATCTTGTCCACTCATCTGTTTTGTCTCCTTCCCACCAGCCTTGCTAGAATCCAGCTCATGACAACCAGTGGATCCTTTGACTATTTTGGCCCCTGCTGTTTCCCTAGTGTTGCCTCACACATCACCTGTGACTAACCAACAACTGCTGTGTGAATGAATAAACGTTCTGGACGCCCAACAAAGGTATTTCTAAATACAATAGTTAGTATCGTTGAGGAGACCGGAGACCGGCTGCCATACTGTTCCCTGCCCCACATAGAAAGCCACACCCACACGAGAAATTTCTTTTGGAAGGCAGCATCAGGAAAACTTTACCTCCATTGAGAACTTGCTTCACCTTTTCCTTTTCCACTGTTAAAGCTGTCACTGACTGTTCCCAGTTTTGTTTTGCCCTGGCTCTTAGGAAGCTGAAAACCACATTTCAGACTCAAGGACAGCAGTAATCTTTGTTCCAACAGCGAACACAAATTCTCCCTTCCTCAGGCTCATTTCCTACTTTTGTTATGGGAAGCATGGCAATGACATTTGTTGTCAGTCACTTCAACTCCTTTCTGGAGAGAAGTGTCGTTTAGACAAAAGCATGCAGACGTGTTGACATTCTGCCATAGGCTGGATAGTGTTTGTTGCCTTGGATAGTGTGCTCGTGAACGGGGGCTTTCTGGCTATATGTGTTCATGTCGGAGTGGGAGCAACCTTTATCGTTGCTGGGTGATTTGCTGTGATTCATATTTGGGAATTCCCCAAGGTTGCTCAGTTAGGGTTTACTTGCTTAGTGGGAGCCCAGCCCTCTGGGTGGTAAGGTTTTCAGGCTTATTGGTATTTGTTGACTTGATGAGTGTCACTGCAGAGTTATGACCTAAGACGTTGGATCGTGAGAGTTTATTATTCTTTCAGAGGTCTGCGTCTCAGTAGTGGAAGAAACATGCCTTTTAGCTTAGCTTTACAATGCTGTGCCTTGATCTTCGGGAGATTCACGGGCCACACCCCTCGAAGGTTCAAAGGAGCTGTTCTTAATTGTTGTTTGGGTTAGGGACGGTTTTGAAGTTTACAGAGCATAATACATACATGCTTCTACTTAGCATGGCAAAATTAAAACGTAACTCTTTTGAAGTCCAGGATGTATTGGTATTTTAATTTATTAGTTATTTTGAATATTTGCTTGTGGCAACAGCATTCATAAAATAGCCATAGGAAAAGCATACACTGATCAATTATTATTGAATATCTCTTGATGCTTGTACTAAACTGATACAGATGATATAAAGAATATATATGTGGCTTATCTATGAGGGTGGAATAATGGAGAAATGTCTCTGAATAATGTATGCTTTTAAAACAGCCCTAATGGCTTATATGCAAAGTGGAATAAAGTTGCAGTATTTAAGAATCATATTTTAATTAAAAAATTTCTCTCAAGTCAGCATTGTAATTAAATATCACCAATTTGGTATAAATTATATTTTAATTTTTATGCTAATTTAAACATTGATGCAAGTCGTTTTGAAGAAGGGGCATGCAGGAAAAATTTTTAATCAACTATTCTTTTCCAAAAAGCAGAAGTCTGAGACTTTTGGTAACCAAATTCATCCATCCATTCATCCATCCATCCATCTATAAATCCTGTATAATATTGTGCAAGGAACTCATTTTTAAAAGTTCTATTTATTTATTTAAGAGAGAGAGAGAGCCAGCAGGAACAGGGGAGGGGCAGAAAGAGAGGGAGAGAGAGAATCCCAAGCAGGCTCTTTGCTGTCAGCCCAGAGCCTGACTAGGGGCTCAATCTCAGCAACTGTGAGATCATGACCTCAGCCTAAACCAGGAGTCAGATGCTAAACTGCCTGGGCCACCCAGGTGCCCTAGGAACTCATTTTTAAGATTAACTTTTTAAAAATACATGTTTTATCTACACTTATATCGATATAATTTTTATATAAAAATCAGGACTTACATAAAGATATATGAAATTGTAAAGATATTTTATGAAAATTCCAAATAGTACATTAAAAATATATAAAATAGGGGCACCTGGGTGGCTCAGTTGGTTAAGCCTCCGACTTCAGCTCAGGTCATGATCTCACGGTTTGTGGGTTCGAGCCCCACATCAGGCTTTGTGCTGACCGCTTGCTCAGAGCCTGGAGCCTGCTTCGGATTCTGTGTCTCCTTCTCTCTCTGCCCCTCCCCCGCTCAGGCTTTGTCTCACTCTGTTCCTCAAAAATAAATAAATGTAAAAAAAAAAAACTAAAAAAAAAATAATATGCAATCTTATGTAATATGAAATATAATATATGTAATAAGCTGTGTTTACATACAACTTTGTTAGAACATCTACCTATCCAGTATGGTGCCTATAGCCTTTCTTTTGGGATAATTTAAATCACTATAGTCCTTTTTTTTTTTCTTTTTTTTTTTTTGAGAGAGAGAACGAGAGGGCACATAGGACACAAGTGGGGGAGGGGCAGAGGGAGAGATAGACTCTTAAGCAGGCTCCCCACAACCCTGGGATCATGACCTAAGCCGAAGTCAAGGGTTCAATGCTCAACCAACTAACCACCCAGGTGCCTCAGGTCAATAGTAATTTTAATTTAAGTAATTGTAAGATCATTGTTAAACGTGCATCATAAAGCTTGGGCCACTTACCAAGTGCATTTGAATATGAGATTTACCTTGAGTTATTTTATCTGCAATGTTTTTTCATTAGCAAAGATTGGCATGGAGTGTACCAGTCACATAATTTATCAGTAATTTAGTTATTCAATCCAGAGTATTTACTGATACCTTGCCAGAATTTAAAAATTCCCCTGAAGATCCGGAAGGCAAAAATTATAAGCAGAAAAAGTAAAAATTTCATTTAAATTCTAGGGAGATAGTCTTTATCGGCCATATTTTCAACTCAAAAGCAAGAAGCTTTCTTTATCTACTTATTCAGGAGTGCTGGAATCTTGGGAGTCTTTGGCTCACTGTTTGTGCATATCCTGGTATCCTAGCCAAGATAAGAAAACCCCAAGGTCCAGGAAAGTTTACTGTGGAGTCAGACAGTTACTGATCCCTGAACCAAATGCTTTATGTTTATCTGGGCTCCAGGACAAGGAAGACTGTTTTTAAAAGAGACAATCAAGAGCTTCTGCCTTTGAACCATGTGTACCTAGGGCCATTGATCTCATTAAAGTGAAGCCATTGGTATTTCTAGAGCTTTGTATAATCAAGACTTGATAACAGAAGTTATTTTTCACCAAATGAAACGTGTTGTTCTTTCTTTCTTTTCTTTCTTTCTTTCTTTCTTTCTTTCTTTCTTTCTTTCTTTCTTTCTTTCTTTCTTTCTTTTTCTTTCTTTCTTTTTTTCTTTCTTTCTACATTAAACCTGGATTCAAAGAAATAACTGAGTATCTCAACTGCTTTTTTTAGGTGTAAGCTCAATTATGCCAAGGAAGTTGCTGACCATGCCCCTCCCTGCTCTTTTGCTCCCTTTTTCAATATTGAAACCCATGGCACATTTGGTGTGTTGTAGGTGAAAGGCAGTCTATAAATGCCACGGAGGACAGAGAGACAGACGGAAAGCAGGCCTCTTTGGGAGATAGCTAGCAGACTTAACGATCGCTATAGCAGAGTGATAATTTCGCCATGGGAGAAATTAGAGAAGGTTCTGTAAGAGGGAACTGACATCCCTACGAGTTTTTGAGCTGAGTAACTAAGAAAACTCACACAAGTGCCTATGGTTCTAGGGAGCAGAAGCCACCCTTTCTTCCCACTTT